ATGCCATTCATAATCAGTTTGGATATTATCAGTCTAAACAACACTGACAGAGTGTAGGAGTTGTGGTTTTGTCCCTGGTGTCGCGTTTGTGTGTTCCACTTGATCCTCTGTTTCTTTTTATAGGGCTTGTGTTTCTTTAGTATCTAGCCCTATCTTGTGTTGTGTTCTTGTCTTGCATCCTCTGTCTCTTTCTCTGGCATCTATGATTACTCACAGGTGCCTTCACTTGGTCTAATTGGTGTTTCCTGTATATAAGTCTGTGTCTCTGTGTTAGTCCTTGTCCTGACATTGTCTTATATCCACTGGTGATGATCTGTCTGTTATGCAAGTACCTCCTGTTTATCCATGTTTATTTTGCTGCCCTGTCAGCTCTTTTGCATCGTTAATAAATTATTTATTTTACATTATCCTGAGTCCTCGCCTGCTTGCCTGCACCACTGGGTTCACCAGCACCAGCATTTTGTGACACAGATGATTTTCAGCTTATTTGGTGATGACCTCCTGATTCTCTTGAGTTTTGTGTAAACTTAACTCTGCTATTTAAAAGTCATATCCTAAAGGTATTTAACATGCTAAAATTCGGTTTTGTTCAAAATTCTTAACAAATCGCTTCTGAAAAAGCACAAATTGTACTTGGCTTGAACATGATGAGAAAAGCTGTGCAGATAGTGGCCATACAGATTATTTTATTAATTTTAAAAGAGCATAAAAAAATTATTTTTCATATTTTTTAGCTACCGGAGGTTGTGCTGCGAAAAGAAATTCTGTTGTGCAAAAATGTGCCCAATGCTTGTAAAATGTTTTTAACTAACTGTAGCCTTAAAATTTGCAATTAGAGTCCTATTTTTATCCACTTCGGAATTTTACAGTTTATGTTTTATACCTTTCAGCTGATCATATGGGTGAAACATAGCTGAAATCTTTGTTCTTACGTCAACTTTAGTGAACAAACGACCAAATAAGAATTTTATCATAACAGAAAAAAACAACTAAAAACATTTCCAGGCAAGCTTTATTTGACATATTTTGTCAGAGAGACTGACGTTTCTCCTCAGCTGGCAGAAACTGCTGATTAAGTGAAGCGTTATGAAGGAGCAAGTTGCTGCACTGATCTGAAACGAGTAGCCAAAAATCCCAACATCCTTAGAAGATGATGTCACAAAAAGGCCAGCAAATTTATTCAGGGAGATGTCAAAACGCAGAACGGAAAAAAGGGTGCAGGTTTGAGGAAGACGCTTGAGTTCCTGCAGCAGTGGATGCCCCCACTCACCTCTGTAGTTGATGATTTCAGTGCCCAGGATGGCAGTCATCTCCAACACAGTGATGAAGGCCTTGTCCATGGAGGTAAGTGGGAAAGGGGACATGCGATGCCTCCGGGCCACCTTTGTGATGTCCACTGCACTGTGACCTGAAAAAATGAAGGAGATTATATTGACTGGAATTAAATGGGGGCCACAAAATCCAACAACTAAAAATAGAGAAAAGAACTACAGATTAATATTTTATGTTGTTTCTTGTGTTGGTCATTAACTCCTTTTTTAAAACAACACAATCAAGGGAGAACAGATGCATTTTTATTGCTCACCACTGATGGCTATTTTTAGAAATTACCAAATGTGTGTGAATTACCAAAGAAGAAAAGAAGAAGCTTTTCTGAGCCAAAATACCTTAAACGAGAAAACAAGTTTACTGCCTACTGTTGAATGTCTACTGTCCACAACTACCGGTAATTAACTTTTGGAGTCAACTTTATTCAAAATGTGTTCATGTTTTTCAAAAACTCACACAAGAGCATTAACCTCACAGACAAATTTTATTATAGAGGAAAATAAATGTGGAATATATTAAAACAATTATCAACATCGGAAACTGTAAAATCTGCGATTGATGGTACCCGGAAACACAAACAAACCTAAAATGAACCTGAACAAAAACACAACAAAAATGCAAATCATTGTTTTTTGTCTAGGATGAACATTTTTAGGATTTATTTTGTAAAGAGACTTTAAAGACTGAGTGAAAATGAAGGGGGAGTGAACAGTACTCTGTTCAGATTCACAGCTACGACAAAGGGAATCCTTGCATGATTCATGTAAGAAAATGGACGATTTTCACTTTTTTTATGACAGAAGAAACAGTTTTGATTGATGCCACCTGATATTCTGCACTTGTATTAAAAGCAACCTTATGATGAGACAGTAATCCATGCTTTAACATCCAGGCTCGATTACTGCAATGCACTTCTTTTTGGAATCAGTCAGACCTCTATTGCACGTTTACAACTGTTTCAAAATGTTGCAGCCCGATTCTTAACTGGTAAAATAAAGGCAAACTAAAGCACATTACACCAGTTCTGGCCTCCCTTCACTGGCTCCCAGTTCACTTTAGAATTCATTTAAAAATACTTCTGTATGTTTTTAAATCTCTGAACAGTTCTGCCCCCTCTTATCTCACTGATCTGCTGCAGCCATATGTCCCACAGCACTCTCTGAGGTCAGCAGACCAGATGCTTTATTGGTTACAGGCACTGGTTTTAAGATCAGAGGCCTTCTCTGTTGCAGATCCAAAACTGTGGAATGAGTTACCACTGCATGTCAGGCAGGCTCCCTCTCTCATTGTTTATAAGTCTCGTTTGAAAACTCACTTTTATTCCCAGGCTTTTGACACTGCGTGAGTAGATTTTAACGTCTGTATTCTATAATGTTAGCCATTTAGTTCTTATCTTTACCTATTTGGATCTACAAATTTTATCCTGTGTCCTTTGCTTATTTTGTTTTTGCTGTACAGCACTTTGCCTTGTTGCCGTTTTAAGTGCTTTTTAAATAAAGTGGTATGTTATGGCATGATCTGCATAGCACAGCCTTCACACTAACAGGAAAGCAAGATTATCATGATTTGTTTTTTATCTGCAGGTATAAATGTGTGTGAGAGGAGACTGGCAGGACGTACAGTCTGGTTTGTTTTCTGAGGCTGTGGGGCACAGCTGGTTGGTACACGTGCTCCATCACAGCCCTGATGGTCTAATAAAACCTCTTAATAACTCCAAAAGGTAAACAGAACAAAGCAAGGTGTAACTAATGTGTAAATTTGCTTTCTTTCCTTATGTCTTTATCCCTTTCCGCCTCCCCCTTTTCTCTGCCTCACAGCAAAGAATATTTGGCATGCTTTGATTTGCCTTGACCCAAATTCATTCCTTTAAACGCACACTTCCACAACATGTTCTGATACTTAAAACAAGGCTCAACAAGCTCCGGCAAAACATTTCTACACACATATATATGACATGCAAAACACACAAATCACAATCACACTGTCACCTCATATACACGTTTAAGATCTGTTCATGTGCTTAGGAGCATGTGGAAGAGAATAACTCTAGCACTTACTTGATCTTAGGATATTTTCTTTGCTGCTGCATCGTGACTGCACCTAGAGATGGGGAGTGATTGGGAGAGACAGACAGAGGGCAAAAGAGGAGAAAAAGAGAACAGAAGCAGTGGTAATTTGAAATAAATCACGCTGATCTTTTGACATGGAGAAGAAGACAAGCTGTTCGTACAACATTCAGAAGCGCTGGCAAGAGCTGTGTCACACTACACTGTGCACTTTGTCCTGCTTGATGAGAGATGGCTACATCTAAGGCTTTACATTACGTAACAGGTGATAGTGACATTGATAAATGCGCCGACATGTCACAGCATTATTCATGTGCTTAAGAAGACTACACGGACAAAGGCAACAAGATACAGAGTGACAGTACTGCATCACAATGTCGTAAACGATGTAGTCACTGTGTTACGGTTTAACACTGAATGTAGCGGACATGTGGTGCTGAGGATAGATACTGGCTGTTCAGATGCGGTGCAGGATGGGAGGTTTTCTCTGGAGATCGCTGATGCTGTGTGATAGCCTCTCATAATCTGTGGCGAGGTGGGGGAGGAGAGCAGAGATGGTTAAAACTGAGCTGTTTCCCCAAAAGAAAAAAGTAAAAGGAATTCCCTCCAAATCCTCAAGATAATAGAAAAAAGATATATATTTGGAACGAATATACTAATTTTGATTTAATATAAAATTTGTCATCATAACCACATTACATATGAACTTGTTTATATCATAACTGGAAAAACTTTTAATTTTTGTAGATGCAAACCAAGTCACAAACAGCTTACCTATAGAAATTGATTACCATATTTTTCGGACTATAAGGCACTTAAAATCCTTTAATTTTCTCAAAAATCAACCGTGAGCCTTATAATCCAGTGCGCCTTATGTATTAATTATAATTGTGCTTACTGATCTCAAGCTGAAATTATGTGGTACAACTGAACAATGTTGAGAGTTATTGTGAATGAGTTGAATAAAATTAGACTTATCTGAATGTTTGGTGTTGCTTAATGCGCCTTATAATTCGGTGCACCTTATAGTCCGAAAAATACGGTATATATAGTAATTTTTTTCTTCTTTTGGCTGCTCTCTTCTTCAGGGGTCACCACAGTGAACTAAGTCACACAAAGACTTGGCAATTTTTTTTTTATTATAGATGATTATATAGTTAATTATTTATTATAAATGCAGTGTCCCAATTCCACAAAACATATAAACTATGTGCAGTGTGGGCCAACAAAATTTTTGCATCAGTTTACAGAATATAAGAGCATATTTGGAACTATACAAAGTCAGAGATTAAGGTCCTCGTGTTTGGTTGCTGACTGTTTCTTCCTATTTATTTAGTTCAGTGTGGGATTTCATAGCATCTATCTGAAAGGCTGCAATTTGCAAACAATGGACTATGCCATTTTTCAGTCTTCTTCAAGCACCATGGTGAGCTACTATGTGCAGAAAGTCCACCCTAAAGCTTTTATTTTTATTTATTCATTCTGAGTTACTTAAATAGTTAGCAGTCCAACATAGTTCAAGTGGGTTGATGCCCATAATTAAATAATTTCTATTTTAATGTGATTTTAAGCATGCATAAAACATTATTTTATAGTAAAATTTTCTTTCAAAGAGTGCATATTGTGCAATTTAAATTTCCATCCATGTCGGTTACTTAATGTAAAAATCTGCAGTCCACAGCAATGAGATATTTTTATTTTAACTCAGCAGTATTTCCCTAAAACACATTTGTATTTTGCTCGGCACATCGTGAACAAAGCTTGAGCAACTGTCACGTACTCTGCCATTTTTGGATCATGTATCTGAAACAACAGGGCAAATGCCATTTAAAGGAAGAGAACAAAAAGAGACAAACAATGTCTCAGACATAAGTAGGCAAAATATACATTAATAGTGTATTTTATGAGGAAAAAATCAATTGATTTGTCATTTTAGGCAAAACCACTCTTCAAATTCGACTGTGATCATTAGATTCTTCTCAAAGTTTTTAAGCCCCTCTTTTTATATTCCATTATTTTCCATGGTCCAGTTGATCAATGTGGAGGTTGAACATATTCTGGCAGTAAAGCTAAGCCGACTATGACCTTTGTTTCCACTCTAAAATCCTTTCAAAATAAACTGCAATAGCAAAACATTAACGTATAGGGGAATACTCAACAAAATGTCTCCGCCTCATAGGCATCGCAACATGTGAAGGGAACGTGTCCCCCCATATTTACCATGAAATATTAGTTCACCCAGCGCCATTTCTATTTCTTCATGAACAAATCCATTCCACTTGATTAATAGGAGAATATTGATACCACTGAAAAATCCACTCCTGGTTTTCCTGGTCACCTACAACAACTCACCACACTGCATGCAGTGTTTCCCCTAGATCACTTGATGGGCGAGCGGGGTAAAGGTATCTCTGCGTTGAGCGCTACCTTAACTATGCCATGTTACTGCGGGCAGTTGGGGGGGTTACGTTGTGTGAGAGCTCGTCTGTATTGCGTGCCACTAGCTTAGCGCTACCTTAGTGCAGGCAGAGCACTGTACCCTTCTTTACTGAATCAAGGGTTTACTTATGTAGGTAAACGTAGATATTTAACAACCCGTTAAAATACACCAGAATGCAGGAAATGGCATCTACTTTATTCAAAATTTTATGGGGGAGGACCCCCAGACCTCACACCAGTGTGTCTTCCCCATATTACAAAAGCTTCTGATACCAGTGCTTCACCATCTCTCGTTTTATGGAAGAGGCATTGGTTGTATTTTTGGGAGCAGTCGGTTGAAGAAAAACACTTGGGCTGGAAATAGAATATCCTCAAGACACAAAAATATTCAACATGCACTGTCATACAAAGTGATGACATCATGTCTGAGTTCCTCATCTCTGTGGGCCAAACCCTCTTCAGATCAAATTAAAAGTTTTAACTGAGTTCCAAGGCTGTGGATCTAAAGACGTATCACTACAAAAGTATCAAAATAAAAACTTTGAGTATATCCAATGTATTGTAATCGCTTTTCCATACAAACAAATTGTAGGCACAGAAAATGTTTGGTATAAATATGTAATGTGGAAGTGGACACAGCTCTAGATTGTAAAATTTTCTGTGATTATATTGAAAGAATAGTGGCATTTCTTTTTGTTTTTTTATACATCAAATCGGGTTTTACAGCAGCAGCCTTGCAGTGAAATTTATCAACATACCTAATTAGGTGCAACAAGATTAGCAGCAAATAAAATTGAGACATAAATTTACAGATTTGTGAGTGCATACGCTGCCTTTCCTGTTAAAATGGAATTTATGTTAAACAAAACAATAAACTGCTGCACCGTCAGGATATCACAACCCAGATTTATTTATTTTAATTATAAAGTAGGCATTTTCTCGTGCTTTTTGGGGAACTCAGCCTCAGGGAATAATCAGAAGGGGAAAGGGAATGACAATATGTGGTTTAGTACAGATTTAGTGAATGAATACTCTATGTGTACCTTCATAAGTAGAGGTCCATTAAAGGAATGAAGATTTGCCAAAACAGGCTTGTTTATGGTCCTTTGATTTCATATGTTTTAATTCAAACGGTCTATTTTGCAGTCATTATCTGTTTTAACATGCCCTTCACTTGCTCTAGGATCTCCAAGCCCTCCCGTTCTCCATAATAACTTCTGTGACCTACAATAGTTATTGAAAATGTTGGGTGTGGGTGTTGCATGGAGAACCAAAACACCCATGATGAAGGTGACGGTCTCTCTCCTCACCCACCCACCCTTTTATCTCTCCTCCCCTCCCTCACAATCTACGGGCTAAAACTGCAACACCAAACAGCCAAGGTGAGATGATGGATGGAAGGAGGTGAGGAGGAGTGATGGTGGAGGAGAAGGAATGGTGAGGAAGAGAGAGACGAGTAAAGAAGGTGTGACCATCAGCATGACGTGGTCCTCCAGCTCGGAGACAAAGAAAGGTAACAGAAATAGGAAGCACAAACTAGACAGACTTCACTAAACTACAGAGCTGAGACATATCAAAAAGATGGAAACGCGGGGAGAAGTAAAAGCAGTAAAGAATTGTCTCAATGACATCTACTTAACAGACATCCAGCACACCAGACAGAGCTACTGAAAGCAGAGCAAGTTAACCAGAGAGACTGAAACGGAGACAGCAAGGCACATGGAGGAAGAGAAAAAAGGAGACAACAGGAGACAGAAAATAATACGTAGGAGACAAAGAAAGAACCTTGACAGAAGTATCGAGACAAAGAGTGACGAGAGCAAACGAAGGACAGTTTGAGAACGAGAAACGAACGAGTGGCAGCAGACAGAAAAGAGAGATGGGCGAGTGAAAGCCAGAGAAACAGCAAGGAAAGCGAGGAGGGGAGGGCAAAGAGCGAGGCATTGGTTTTGCGCGCTCCTCGGAGGAAAGTGAGGGGGAAAAAGGGGAAGGGAGAGAAAGAGAGGGGGGAGGGGGCAGGATAGTTACTCGAGAGCTGAAGGTCCTCCTGCGATCATCTTTAAGCCCCTCCAACCTACACTGGAGCTAGTGGAGATAAAGCATTGAATCACAGGCATCAGTGCATCTGTCCCAGCAACCACAAGACTACAGACAGACGAAAGGACACCGACAGACAGGCAACCACTACGACAAGCAACCCTAGCAGAATCAGCACAGACAGACATAAAAATAAAGAAAAAGTTAGTTAAAAAGAAAAATGTTCAGGCGGCAAAATGTAGGCTCTTAAGATCACTGATAATAATGTTGCACGTGGACTTTTTAGTTTTAATTTCCCCTCAGTTTAACTGCTATAAATATTATTTATGTCATTATTTTATATATATATTTTACATATATGGTTTACATTATTTATTTTTATGAATACTGATTTCTTTGTAAGTTACACCAAGTAGGAACCATTTTCTAGTGCTATGTTGCACTGGGGACACTTTAAGTTGTTGCAACCCTCCTCAAAAAAAAGCATGTGTCACTGCCTGATCTGTTACAGAAGCACAATCCGTAGTGTCAGCTCATTTATGCATGCGCTAAAAGGAATACTTCCGAGTCACAAGGATCGCCGTTGTTTATGAATAAGAACTGTCTTAATTTACTTCGAAAAGTATGTGCTCTATCTTCACCAATCTTCATGTTGCTAATTTACGCCACTCGTATTTCCGTTAAAATCATTGACATGTTTCCGACATTGGTTAAGATGATATGCGATGCATTAGACCTGACCCCCAGCCTGGGCTGAATGAGGAAACCCTGCAAGATACAGAATTAATTATTTCTAGGGATGCACAATATTGGATTTTTGGCCGATATCCGATATGTTAAAACTTATTTGGCCGATAACCGATACCAATAACAATATTTTTTTCCCTAGACCTACTTACAGAGATTCCATACCTTTCTCTGCTATGGAATTAAAATACTACATTATTCTGCATGGTCTTTGTCAATTTGGCCTGCTACCAAATGCAGATGCCAAAAAGGAGGCTGAAAATGATGTAACACTTCAACTTGGATAATGTTTAATGTCAAATTTATTCATGACATTTACTCTCTAACACAATGACAACACTTGAACAGTGCAAATTTGTAAATTTACACGAATCTAACCTGTTCACAAGCGACAAATGAAAAACACATAAATAGTAATGCATTAATAGAAATACTTGACTGTTTCTTAAATTAAAAATTAACTTAAAACAGAAGCCTTTTATATCAGTGAGTTATTTTTATGGAATGGTCGATGTCCGATATTTAACTTTATCGCTAATATCGGCTGATACCGATACAATGCCGATAATATTGTGCATCCCTAATTATTTCCAAGGTGAAACAGCGCCGCTCAGTGGTGAAGCTGCATATCGTTTTAGCCAATGACGTAAATATGTCAATGATTTTAACGAAATACGAGTGGCATAAATTAGTAACATGAAGATCGGCAGAGATAGAGCACATACTTCTCTAAGTAAATTAAGACAGTTCTTGTTCATAAACGGAATTATAACATTGTCTAGGAAAATTAATCAATTTATAGAAAGAAATATTTTAATTAATATTAATAAATATGGTATGTTTCATATATATATATTAATAATATCAAGTGATTATTTCCAGTACATTTTCCTTAATCTAGCATATTCAACGGTGATCTGTGCAACCTGGAAGTATTCCTTTTAGCGCGTGCGCAAATGAGCTACACTACGGATCGTGCTTCCGTAACAGATCGGGCAGTGACAATGTGCAGCAGGAAAAGTTCGATGCTCCGCCTAAAGGTTTGAGGTTACATTGCCCATTTTCTTTTGAAGTTTTACTTTTGTTCCAGCGAACTCATTCCCTCTTTGGTTGTGTGCAGCCAGTGACGTGTTTATTTGTGTTATGTTGCATATTTTGTAGTAAATTTGTGTGCAATACATGAATATGTAAATTTTGTACATTGTTATGTATTTAGAGCAGTTCGACGGTGGATTTGATGGCCATAAGTGCCGTTCAGGTGAATAAATCCATCAGTAACAGAAGAACTACGGTGTTGCATATTTCCTGGAGGGAATGATACTCACTAGTATTCCCTTTTGCTTCATTTAGGTTTGAGAAGTAATTATCTTTAAATGAATCTCCTGCCTCTAGGTGAGCTTGGTTTATTTTGGGGCATTATTTATTTACTTATTTAAAACAGTATTTACAATTTGTTTGGCAGGTCCTCTGTTGTCTCGTAAATTGTTGTTTCGCGTTGACTTTTTTTCTACTCGAAGCACAATTTACTCTAATCAAGATTACGCTAATGTGTTTGCAAATTCTCAGGTCAGCTTCTGATACCTCTAAATATAACTCCATATCAATTAAACGAGTCTTAAAAACTTAATTGCGTGTGTTATTCAGGGCTCCGTCTTGGGAGAGATTCTGCGAAAGTGCAATTATTTTCCAACATTTATCTCATCGATCATGTGAGATTTTGTGCCCGAAAACTTTAGTGTTTGCTCTTTATTTAGCCAATTCGAAGTTTATTGCAATAATTAGGGCTTATCCTTTTGTCAAACCTTGAAGCACAGTGGAATAAAGTTTGTTTCCTTTAAATTAACTCCATTCTTTCTTGTATTTTCTTTACATTTCTTAATATAAATGGACTCTATGTAATTACCATCATGCGCTCAGCTTTTAAGAGAACAATGGTTGTTTTATAAATTATTATTTTTGTTTAACCGCCAGGATGTCCAGAGTTTTTCTCTTTGAAAAACAATCTTTTTAAAGTTAAATACTTTCTTCAGGAACTAACAGTTTTTCTTTAGATTTTGGCTGCTTTTTCACTCATTTCTTAAACTGTCGTCCTGATCATGACAGCATGCCGTGTAGTGTGAGCTTAATAAAAAAATAAAATAAATAAAAAATTAAAAAGCAGAGCGGAGAAGTGGCAGACAAAAGAAATGTTGGTGTCTTAAAGTCATGTCATTGAGAAACTGGTCAAATAAATCAACAAAAGATTTCTCAAACTCTAAACTCTAAATATTGAATTGATGATGAGATTTTACAACTTTGGTTTTCAGAAGATTTGAGTCTTGAACTTCTTGTTTTCCACAATTTTATTGTCCTTTTTTTTTGTTTATGTACAATAAAACAAACTTGGAGGACAAAAAGTTTATATGTGGTGTTTTTATCTGCTTAACAATGAGTGTTAAAGGCAAAAAATAAAACAACATTTTTCATGCGATTTTCCTGTTCTAATTTTACTACAACTATTTTTTCTACTAGATAGCACCCAAAAAGACAATATTAAGAGATACTAATGAGAGGCATATTGGATAAGAACCCCAGACAGAGCAAACAAAACAAAGGAGTATTATATTAAGGTAGCTAAATATAGCTAAACCAAAACACAAATCAAACTTGCAGACACTGAAAAGCACAAACAAAACAACAATTAGAACATATGTGTACAAAGCGTGCCTTGCTTAAAAGCAGTGGATGTCTATAATTCAAATAAATAATATGAGTAACAATGAGCAAACATAAAAAAATCACTACCTTGCTGATTTCTTTAAACACAACAATAATCACACATTTTCTTAACCCAGTTTTACATCAACCTGACATTAGTGTCCTGCTGTAATGACTAAATTACTATATATTCAGTCACCATGAGTATAAAATCAACCCAAGTTTAAATGCTACAGAGGCTTGATGACACCACCTCTGACACAGTGGGAAATAGATCTCAGGATGACAAGATATACCTCAGCAGATATGATCATCATACCATCAGTAAGCAACAGGGAAAGACAGCTTGCATATGGAGATGAAGACAGTGGAGGAGCTACAAGAAGATGTGTGTGGAGGTGAAGAGGAGACATGGAAAATGAGTGCTGAAGCAGACTAGTATGTTTCGGATGTTTAAAAGGGAAATAAATAAAGCAGGCAGTCAAACATTCTCAGTTATTTCTGATCTATCTTTAGAAGCAATCCCCCCTTTAATAGTGAGAGAGGTGAAGTGTGAGAAATGCACAGGTTGACATCCTACACAAGCACAAACACAATAGTTTAAAACTCCTTAAGAATAGAAATAAACGAAGAGATACACTTTTATATTTATGTGGGTGTGAGCATCAAACGGGTCTGACAAACTAAAGAATCCCTAACGACACACCTGCTTTAAGGCCAGAAACAATAATCACGCTACATGACAAGGCCCGTCGTCGCCGCGGAAACAGCCTGACGAGGGGTTGTCATGGAGATGTGCCAGGAAAATCAATATGCTGTGGGAACGAGTGGCGGCGCCGAATACAGACACAGAGCAACGAGTGTGGCCAGGCTCATGAGACACGTGCCTCAAAGCTCGTGAGCCAGTCGCCAGCCGGAAAGACGGGAAAAAAAAAAAAAAAGAATCGATGAAACCAATAAACGACCGGCTGAAGAGATGCTCGAGGAAATGATGGGATGCAACTACTGCGGTGCTGAGCTCAGCAGAAAACAAAGACGTTGTCAGACAAATTATGCAAAAAGAAAAGAAAAAGAGGGAGGAAGAGCAGGATTTATACGTTCACCGAGAGCAGGAGAAGGTTGTGGCAGAGCAGGGAGGCGTTTCAGTCGACTGAACTTCGTTAACTCTTGGGAGCAAAAGTCAAAATGCTGGAAGGTTAACGAAAAATAGTGGCGTGCAAAATGAAAAATAAAAGAAAGTTTCTGGTGCTCCTTTCGCTTATCGACGAGTACCACACGATTATTTTGTAATTTAGTATTTCTGTATTTCACAGTACTGTGCAAAAGTCTTGAGCCATTCCCTCATCTCTTCACATCTTGGTTCCAAAGAGCCAGATGTTTGTGATGATCTTTAAAGGGGTCTTGACAAATAGTTCTAACTTTCACAAAGTCTTAGAAAAATTTTCCCTTTTGGGCTTTGGTTTAATTTTCACTTATTTTCAGTTCAATGCCTGACTATATTTTGTTTGTCTCAACTTTTTCAGGACTAAAAAGGATCCTAAACTCAAAGGATGAACCAGTGTTGTGTGGACACACAGGAGATAACTTAGCAAAGAACCAGTCATAATTAGGTTATCTAGGCATCCTGTTACCAACAGCCTATCTCAAAGTCACAATTTGTTCCCATTTATTTAGTTGAATCTATGGAAAGACAACACAGTTTTATATAAATATAACAGTTTATTAGCACCAACAAGATGATTCTGAAAGGGCTTTTATCTAAAAACTTAACATACAGTCGACGAGCAACTGAAGCATCATCTGTATCAGGACTTTGATGGATCTTTAACTTATTTCTCAGAGAAGCATGGGTTCCAGATTCACATATGTCAAACTCAAGAGCTGCAGGCCAAACCTGGTCCCTCAAGATGATAATTTAAATGTAAAAATTTTATATTTTTCTTAAAAAAAAAAAAAAAACCTGATAAATACATAATTTATTATAGACTTCTCTTGCCATAAGACTAACTTTGAAGCCAGCAAGAAGCTTGGATCATTCTATCATTATTGCTTCTGATGTGGAAAGCATAAGAGAACGTCAAGTGAGACAGATCATGAACGTGCAACCAAGAAAAGATATCAGATATCTGACTCGAGTTAGCTGAAAGTGGGCCATGGCTCGGACAATGTTTTTAAAATTTGACTCCAGTTTTCTCATGTTTTAATCACGCATAGTCACATGGCCACAAAGAAAAACTCTAGAAAGCCTTTACATTGATCAAGACCACGTTAAAAGATTACAAGGTGCAGATCGTTTCAAGAGAAAAATACAAAAATAATTAGGAGTGGATTAATACTTCTGCACAGTACTGTCCATATTGGGCACACACGTTCTCTGCAGGAACAAAACAGCACCAGACACAAAAGAGCAAATGATCAGATGTGTGATGGATGAGAGAGAAAGAGTTCTGGTGCAGATCTGACGACGGAGGCAGTGAACAGGAGAAATGATGCTGAGCTACAGAGGTGGTGGCGCACAGGTCCACCAAACCTCCACACCAGCTCTGAAAAACACAAGTAGTTTCTCCAAGTTCCAAATGGCTCAGGAAAAATCAGGTCAAAGAGGAAGGGATCCATAAATGCTTTTGTGCTTAAAACAAAAACTTTTTGATACAAGCTATTCAAATGTTATTTACACCTGCATTTGTAAAGGTTTGTAAATGAATTAAGTGTTCTAAAGAGCCAAACTGAAAAAAATGTGATCCCTTAGATCAAACTACAGCCTGACAGAAGCCTCTGCGCTCTTGATGATTCGTGGTTGTGGCAGCACAGAAAACATTTGACAACATGCCCCAGTGAAAAATATCCATTCTAAACTTCAGGTGCAGCCTAACGTGAACTAAAGTGCTGAGCTTTTCTGCCTCGCTGCCTCTGTCTGTGTGCAGGCGCGGTAATGCATGTCACGTGCGTGGTGTTCTGTGGTACGCCTGCATGCAAGTAGGAGGAAGTTGCTAGAAGCAGGTTTACCTGGTCCAAGGTAGAGTACCTTGACTTGAGCGTGATGACCTCATCCAGGTGAGCCCTGAATTCTCTCCGTGAGGCCTGGGGGGAGCCACAGGATAGTCACCTTCATACCACAAACACATACACTGCCACACTCAAATGGCATGCACACACACTCTGAACAAATCAGTTAGTGGTGCTGTTCTTAAATAAATAAATAAATAAATAAAACATTTGCACACAAACTCATCTAACACACATGTGAGGACCACTTATAGCCTCACACACACACACACATTCTGCAATCGATCAAAGGAAATGTCAAAGTTAAAGAAAGTGGCAAACATGTCACTGGAAAACACGAACCATCTACGACACAACAGAGCCGGACATGGATGTAGACCGGAACTGGGTCAGTGGGTCTGATAACCGTTCTGGTGGAAGTCACATATCTGTTTAAGTCTATGCGATCGCTGACCCAGCCCAAGGCCTCTCTGGATAAACTAGAACAGCTAGAAAGGAGGAATTAGATTTAATGAATTATAAACATGTTTAAATGACGCTACATGTTCTAAAGCTTGTGTTGTCCAAATCTCGGTCAGTTGCGACATTACGTATTTACCGTACTTTTAGCAGGACTTAACTTTTGCTTCGAGCAGAAGTGCCGAGACTCTATGAAGCGTCTCGTCTGAGAAGCAGAGAATGTTTTAGAATTAAAGGCCCATCTAGGTTGAGTCTGGTGATTATGAACTTTAACATAAACTTTATTGATCCCGCAGGGAATTGTTTAAAGGGTCTCTGAGGAGCCAGTGTCTGGATTATCCATTTTGGGTTTTTGCAGTAAAAAGTGCAACATGACAGTGTGCAGGGAAAGCAGCCTTATTAGTCAATAGATACACTGTAAAAAAAAATAATAATAATCGTAATTGTTCAATATAAAACTGGCAGCTGTGTTGCCAGGGTAATTCTGTAAAAAAAACAAACAAACAAACAAACAAACTTTGAACAAGTAAATAGTTTTACAGAGTAACCCATAAATTCAACAGTTTTACTAAGTACAATTTACATATTATTTTGTAAAAAATTTCACTGTACTTATTATGTATTTTATGTAAAATACATGAAAATGACATTTTACAGAATAATTTATGGCTAAGTACATTTAAAACATAAATTTAACAATTTTATCATCTACAAATGCTACTACTTTTACTGTAATTTGAAAATTTTTAATACTAAATAATCAGTTAAAAATGGTTACATTTACTTGTTTTCAATGCACCTGTGATTTACAGTAATAAAGTGTATTTACTACAATGATATATTGTTTTGGATTTTGCAGTATTTATTGCCATTTCACAGTTTTTGTAATGTAATTTTCACGGACAATTTTTACAGTGTACAAATCCGTCTATGTGTTCTGTTGTAAAAAACAACAACAACAACAACAAAGCAACAATCTGCTAACGCATAGAGTCGCTCGTTGTGTCTTTATATTTTTCGTCTAAGGAGCCAAACTTTAAATAACCTTTCAAGTGGTCTTGATCAATTGTTCTCCAGACTTTCTAAAGTTTTTTTCGCTGTTTTTCATTTATTTTTCTCTTAAGTATTTGACCATTTCAGAATATATTTTTTTGTGATGCCATTTAACATTAACATGTGAATTACTCAGACATAATGATAAAAATAAAAAAACCTTCAAGGAATAAACTTGTAAATTGTCTACACATAACAGCAAAAAAAGAACCAAATTGTATCTAATCTGAAGCAGTTTGTGAAAAATACACAATTTGTTCTAAATGTTTTAATTGACAGTTGAACAAATTTCAAAAGAAAATGTTTTGACAAACTAAATGAGTATTTTAGCACCATCCGGGCAATTTCTAAGAACTAACTAGATGCCAAACAAACTTGGCACAGTGTTAAAGAATGATACATCATAGTTTTTTGTAGTTTTTAAAGACATTACTTTCAGATACAGGCCACTTGTCCTGTTTGTTTATATTTTTTAATCATACACTTAACTACATATAAGGGGTTTTGGTTGAATCTTGAACAGAAAATATGTGAAAAGGGTACCTTAAATCCAAGTAAAAGCTTTGAAAGACTTTGAGAAAGCTTGAAGAACTATTGAACAAGACAATTTAAGAATATTGCATAAAATCTCCTTGTAAACAAAGAACAGTAGTCTCTCGCTACTTTGCGGTTCATTTATTGCGGACTCGCTCTACTGCGGTTTTTCAAAATAAGATTGGACATGACACACAACTGGCTATTGATGGATGAGCCACACGATCAGCATGGAATTTTTATTTAAAATAAATTATTTTAAATTATGTAGCACCTCCTGCACCTCTGTGCAGCCCACACTGCAGGATAAGCTTCCTGCTGCAGCTGATCAGCTGTTCGCACAGAGCGGGGAAGTGGGCGTGGCCAAGAGCACTTGGAGGCAAGGAGCAGAGGAGGCAGGGAGCTGAAATCATGATATTCTGTGCTCTTTTAGAGCGTTTAGAGTTTAGAAACGTTTAGAATATTGCAAGAGTGTGGGAAGCGTTTAAAATGCCTTTATATATATTTGTACTACAAAGTGGTTTTTCACTTATCGCGGAGCTTCAGGGTACAGATCCCCCGCGATGAAGGAGGGACTACCGTACAAAGAAACCATGAGGGTTTTTTGGCTTTTGCCATTTTGAGCCATTTTAAACGTTTGATGCCAATTTTCTTATATTTTACCCTAAAAAAAAAGAGTAAATTTAGTTCACTTCTGCTCTTTGCTTGGATTTCTAAATGCTGTTTTTGTGTTCTAAAAATGGTTGAAAAAAAGCCTAAATTGTTTTGATGCAAAACTGGAGGGGAAAACAATTTGTTCCCGCCACCTTGAATGTTTTGCGTGTTGTCAAGTTTAAATACAAACTCTGTGTTGTCATTACAGTTAATCAATGAATTCCAGTACCACATTGGATAAGTGTCCAGGATGTTCACCTCCCTCAAACTGAGGTTACGCTCTTATTATTCACAGCAGCACATCAGACTGATTGGGCCACGACAGGGTCGTTGCAAAGGCTTTTACCTGACTGTTTTATATTTTATAAGCTGATGTTTGTGTGTCAGAGAGGCCTTTTTAAAGGAACTCAAGCAGAAAAATGCACTTTGTTTCTACAAGCAACACCACTTTCATTCAAACACAAATACAAGCATCTTTCAACTTCACTTCTGAGGTTGAAACGCAGTTGAGGACATGTGAAGTGATGGAGGTTTGAGCAGGTTAGACATGGTGTGTTCACCAGAACGAGGCAACATCAACACATAACCAGAGTTAAAAGAAAAACACAACCAAACTAATGCACAAAAAACAGAACGAAGTACAACAGAGACAGGAGTGAAGCAGGCAAGAAAACACACACAGACACACGAGGAAGGAGAGGAAGGCCAGGTCATGCCAGGCAGGAAATTAAGGGTGCTGTTGTAGAGGGAGCGTAATCCCATGATGCTGGCAGTAACGGTGCATCACAACACGTGCAGGAGTACCTCAGCAATGCTTAAGGTGGATGAACAGGAGGGGAGCCGCGCCTGGTGCCACGAAAAGAGAGAGGAGGGCAGAAGAGAAGAGGTTTAACAGAGCCAAGGCCAAGTTAAGCAGGGAACAGAGGCACACAGAGACTGACGCCCTCTGTCTTTCAGGAGGACCTCTGTCTGGCAGGTCTCTGTGTGACTGTCTCAGACCGGCCAAAGGGCAGCCAAGGGCATGATGGACAGGACAGGAAAACAAAGGACAGGTGAGGACAGCAGGTAGGAGCTGCATGGCAATTAATTCCCCTCCAGAACAACAAAAGTTCCACAAGGGAAAAAAGAACAAGACAATTTCAATAACATTACTTTGAGCATCAACAGTTCTTACAAAAGTTGTTTCTAAGAAGTCTAAACAAACAAAAAAAAAAAGATATAAGTATCTGCCTATTTTACCAAGTGATTCCAGTTTCAGTTTGGGTGCTTTTTTAATTATATCTAACATTCAGCCACTGGATAATTAAAAAAAAATAATTGTTTAACAACTGCAGTTGTTTATGTGCTGGAGGGAAAGTCATTCACTGTGACCACGACAGCTGCCGTGCAGCATTTTATTCAGGTTTTATTGAGTGAAAATATCAAAAACAAGAACAGGAAAGACACACCATCTGGGCTGGCAGAGGTTCTTACTCCTAACTCAGGTGTCACTAGAAATCCATTCAGAAATATTACAATAGTCCCTCGCTAGTTTGTGGTTCGTTTTTCGCAGACTTGCTCTATTGCGGTTTTTCAAAACAAGATTGGACAAGACACAATTGACTGATTGATGGATGAGCCACACGATTGGCATGGGATTTTTTTATTTAAAACAAATTATTTTAAATTATTTAGCACCTGCTGTACATTTGTACAGCCCACACCGCTGGATAAACTTCCTGCTGCAGCTGATCAGCTGTTCTGCATGCAGAGCAGAGAAGTGGGCGTGGCCAAGAGCACTTGCAGGTGGAAAAGAACAGATGAGGAAGGGAGCTGAAATCACGACATTCTGTGCTCTTTTAGAGCTTTAGCAACATTATTTAGACTATTGCAAGAATGTGGGAAGGGGTTAAAACACCTTTAT